ATCCTTAAATGTCATAAAAGACAATCCATCACAAAAACAGTACAAAAAGCAGTCAACATAAAGAACGGTCCTTTGAAATGAATAAAATGAACCTTTTCCAAAACTTACCACATTATCCAGATTTTTGTTTTTTCCAGAGTTTGGTCTCTGCCAAATGTAGCAAGAGTCCAGACTGCAGGGTCCACTGTATTACTCCTCTTATGGTCTAGGATTACATATTCTTTAACAGAGAACTCAGCACTATACAATAGCATCATATTGATAATTAGTATATCAGAATATCTTTGAGACAAGAACATTTTCTTTGCTATTTTTTCAGAAATCTTGTAAGAGACCCCAAATATCAGATTTTTATTTTCATGAATAATTGTGCCTTGCCCTAAATTGCTCAGTATGGACTGTCACATGCTAGACAAACAAGCAGAGGTTTGTCACACACTAGAGGGAAAGGAAGAGTGGACTTTACCTTGGGAATGCACGTTGTGGGCTCAGATAGGCGAGGGTAGGTGTATGAGTTGTACGCGTGTCCTTGGGGGTGGGTCTTAAATGCACTTGTTCCAAAGGGCATCATGGGCTCCTGGAGTCCTGAGCCTGATCGGGACCTCTGCCGCATGGCTGGCTGAGGGCTGGTCTGGTGCAGGTACGATGACTTGGGCCTCCTGTCATAGTCATCCAGGCTGGGTCCCCACTCACTTTCGCTGTACGCCAGGCTCTCTTTGGAGCACCTGCTGGTCCCTGCAGTTCTGGAAGGAGTGAATTGTTGGAACGGGTCTCGGTAGTCTAATGGGGAGCTACTCGAGGCTCTCTGGTAGTCCCACTTGAGGTCCCCGTATTCACTGGGTTTGCTCAGTGAGTCTAAGTGTGTGTGGTAATCGCCAGGGAATCTGCAAACCGTGGATCTCAAAGGCTTCATTTCGGAGTAGAAGGCCTCGCCGCGCTTCGTTTTCATCACGTGCCCATTTTGCTTGGCTCCGTGGCTGCCTTTATAATATGGATCCAGATCGTCCCCATAGAGGCCCTTGTCTCTGTACTTGTCCGTGCTGTAGTCGGTAGTAGTGTCCGACTCACTGGAATACTGGGAGAAGGTGATGAAGCCATTTTCTCCTGAACGGCGGGGGCCATGGCTGGAGGCTCCCTGGTCCGGGGTGGGTGGGCTTTCTTTCCTCAGGGAGTTGGAACGTGTCACCGAGATGTTGTCGAAATCCTCCAGCAGGCCGTTGATGGAGGTTTCCTTGCAGGATTTGTTTCCTCTAACGATTGTCTGAGAATATTAAAGGGAAAGACTTTTAAAAGAGAGCATTTCATGCTTTTAAATTGATGGCAGAATTCTACCCCCAGAATATCCAATTTAAACTACACAAGAAAATAAACCCCAGGGAGTATTTTATAATAAATTTAAAGTTTGTGATCGATTTTAGTGGCAAAAGAAATAAAATGTTAACTGGTATCTCCAACAGCAAAATGTCCCTCACCTATCTGAGACTAGACATCAAGCAAATGTCATAGAGCTACATAGAAGGCTATTTAAAATGCTTATAGTGCATTTTAAGGAGCTCTGGTAGCATACAGGTTACGAATCGGGCTGTGAACCTCAAGGTCAGCAGTTGGAAACTACCAGCTGTTCCACGGGAGAAAGATGAGACTTTCTGCTCCCGTAAAGATTTACAGCCTCAGAAACCATGTACAGGCTTGCTATGAGTCGGTTCTGACTCCAAGGCACATAACCACCACCACCATAGTGCATTTTCCTTGCCAGTTTATGGGAAATCCCTGCCCCTGTCCTTTCACCTTAATTGTCTAAGCATGTGCTGAAGACTATATAATTTTAACAGACTATAACTATTTGTGTATAAACAGCATCGTGTTATTCTTTTAGATGCACTATCTAAATGTTTTCCAAACTCAGGAAAAGCAAGTCACCTGAATATAATCACCTGACTATTTACAGTCTAACCAGAAATTATATGTATATATATATGTATTTCCCCCTTTCTGGAAGACATATAAACAATGGAGTTTACCAGGTTTAATAGAAGAGGATGTTACTTTCTGAAACTGTGAATAACAAAAAAATAGAGAGTCCTTGTATGATTTAATTTGTGATCACATCTGATATTAAACATACAAGGGGGCTTCAAAAGGTGTGTGGAAATGGAGTTAAAAAGATAATGGAAAATTTCCACCAAATTAAAAAAAAATCTAATATGGTCACATTTTTTGCACCTCATCATTGCTGAATATTGCATTAATGATCACCTAGTTGTACTTGGTTCTTGGTGACAAGTTGCCAAGCGCAAATGTTCCCTTTAATGAATGAACCTAAATAACTCCAGAATACCAGGAACAGAAAGAAGTCACACACCATTTACAAAGCCAGTCAGCTTCAGCTGACAAAGACAAGGTTTGCAGCAGAATATGATGGGGGTGGATAAGAGAAGAACAAAGTATTGTGACTTCAGACTTTCAGGATTTTAAGAGAAAAATACTTTGAGCCCAAGCCATAACAGTATAATACAAGGTTTTAAACTAGAGGAAAAAGTCAAAGTTGTCCTGGAGCACAGGTTTCATAGATCAATGCTTTCCACAGCAAAAACCCGAGTAAGATGCTAATCGAATAGGAGGACACTGGGTGACGGGTATATGGGAATTCTTTGTACTTTCTTTGCAACTTTCCTTTTAAGTCTAAAACTATTCTAAAATAAAAAGCTTATATATTTATATAGGCCAAGAATATTAGCCCAGTAGTGTTTCAGGGCTAAAACAGTAATAAAAGCTTTTATCTGTGAAGAATTTGAAAATCATTGATCTATAATTCAGTTTCTCAGAGTTTCCTTGTTTTTGATAACAATTAATATATATATATGTATGGAGTTCTGGTAGCATAGTGCTTACGAATCAGGCTGTGAACCACAAGGTCAGCAGTTTGAAACTATCAGCTGTTCTGCAGGAGAAAGATGAGGCTTTCTGCTTCTGTAAACATTTACAGCCTCAGAAACCCTGTACAGGGTCGCTATGAGTTGGAATTGACTCCACAGCACATAACAACAATTATATATATATATGGAGTCCTGGTATAGCACTGTAGTATAAGCACTGGAATATAAGGTTGGTTTGAGCCATAAGGTTGTCGATTCAAACCCAAAAGCTTCTCCTTGGAAACCCTATGCAGGGTCATTATGAGTCAAAATGGACTCAAGGACATTTAAGAAAAACAATATAAAACGAAATGAAATGTAAATGTTTATTTGTTGTTGTTGTTGTTAAGTGCTGTCAAGTCGGTTCTGACCCATAGTGACCCTGTATAGGGTTTCTGAGCAGCGACTGGTGAGCTTGAACCTCTGACCTTGTGGTTGAAACCAACTTTATAGTCCAGCACATTAACCCACAGTGCCACACCAGGACTCCTAGACATAAGTTAATACTGATGTCTTTGAATATAATCTAATTGTTGTTGTTAAGTACCATGGAGTAGGTTCTGACTCATAGTGACCGTGTACAGGGTTTCTGAGGCTGCAAATCTTTATGGGAGCAGAAAGCCTCATATTTCTCCCGCGGAACAGCTGGTAGTTTCAAATTGTCGACCTTGAGGTTAGCAGCCCGATTCATAACCACTATGCTACCAGAGTCTAGTATTACATAGTTAATTCTAGCCTCCTCCTGTTAATTTATCTGTAACTTCCCTCTTCAGCAATGAGAAAAGTTGATCTTACCATCTGCCACTTGTTTGTTCAATCCCAGTTATACTGTAGGATAAACACTCAACCATCAGGTCAGTTTGAACTGTAAGGTCAGTGGTTCACACTCACCAGTAGCTCCTTGGAAACCATATGCAGAGTCGCTATGGGTTGTAACCAATTTGACAATACTTAATGCTGTCTACCTTGTGACTATTTCATCATTATACTTTGGAAACAGATAACTTGTAGCCTAGATTTCAGAGGTTTAAGATGAAATGAATTTTACTCTAAGGTGACCTAAAGTCTCACCTATATTTGATACAGATGATTCAGAAGATGAGATTTTGGACTTGGAGTTGATTTAAGACTTTTGGAATAATGTGATGAAGCAAATGTATTTTGCATGGAACAAGGGCATGGGTTTTGAGGAGTCAAAGGGTGGAATGTTACAGAACAAACTGCATCCCTTAAAATATGTGTGGTAAATTATCATTTGAGAATGGGTTGTAGATGTTAATGAGGCAGGACTATTATAAATTTTATGTTGAGCCAATTTCTTTTTAGATATAAAAGAGATTAAAAGTAAATTAGGAAACAGAGATGGAGGAAGAGGTGCCAAGTCCCATAAAAACCACTCAAGAACAGAAGCCAAACGATACAAGGATCTTACTCAAGAGCTGACAGAGAGCAAGACTTCGCCTAGATTTGAATTTTTAGCCTCCTAACGATGATGCTGCAGGATAGTGCACTGGACTGCAAAGTCGGTTTGAACTGCAAGGTCAACGGTTTAAACTCACCAGCCGCTCCTTGGAAACCCTATACAGGGTCACTATGAGTTGAAATCGACTCGACAGCACTTAACAACAACACCAAAACTATGAGAAAACAAACTTCTGTTTGTTAAGCCATCCACTTGGCGTATTTCTATTACAGCATCATTAGATAATTAAGACAATTAGGTTAAACATATATACACATTATTTAAAAATCATTTGTTGTTATACTTGGCTGTTTAACATTTTCCCATTTCAAATGAAGTTGAAATATTTCTTATGTTTAACCAAAATAAAAATTTAACCAAATGTTTAACCAAAATAACAAACTTCACTATTTTGGACTATAAAAATGTCATCATTTTATTACACCCACTTTTCAACATCATGATTTTACCATATGCTCTAAACCTTGCTGTTATTAAGTGCCATCGAGTCAGTTCTGACTCATAGAGACCCTCTGTCGGGTTTCTGAATGGAGTCATGGTGTGGTGCTGTGGGATAATGCACTGGACCACAAGGTTGGTTTGAAACGCAAGGTTGGTGGTTCAAATTCACCAGCCACTCCTTGGAAACCTTATATAGTGTAGTTATGAGTTGGAACTGATTCGAAGCCACTTAACAACATCAACAACTTAGGGTTTCCGAAGCTGTACATCTTTTAGGAGCAGAAAGCCTTATGGTTCTCTTGTGGTGCAGCTGGTGGACTTGAACCATCAACTTTGTGGTTTGTAGTCCGGTGCTTATCCTTTAGTGCTTATCCTTTAGAATCCCCCTGATCCCCCTGTACACTTTAGTTATATATAAATATAAGCTGAGCATCATGAAAGTGACAATCATGAAGCTAGTGTAGGATTTATCCTCATTTTGTTCTGTTATACATAAGGTCACTATGAATTGGAGGTGATTTGACGCTAACAAACAATAACAACCATGAAAGTGAAGTTGTGCTTGCTGACATTGCAGTTGACTTCATAAGAATAACTGTCTGTTAAAACAAAACAAAACCTATAACTCAAAGAAATTAAAATTAAACTCAGACATGGCCTTTTTTATATGTTGTATTTTTAGGCATTTGATAATGTTTGTAAATGGTGTAAATATATTCACAATTAAAATGAAACATACACTTTCTCTCCTTCAATAAAGATGATAAATTCAGTATTAACAAGCAGGAACTTATATTAAAAATAAGTTGTTGACTTATTTCCTCCCATCACCACCACCAACCCCCCTCCCCCAAAAAAAAGAAAGAAAAGGAAAAGAAGATATAATAACCTGATTTAATCAAGAAAATATTTAAACTACAATGGAGTCAACATTCAGTATTTTTTTCACTGGTTTAATTTCATGGTAAAACAATAATAATGAAATCTGAATATGTAGAATTTTACAACTTGGTTTAACCAGGCTTTGAAACAGAAGAGTCACTATTTATTATTGTCAGGATCAGATGTTTATTAAAGCAAAAGATTGTGGTGTTTTATAGAGATCAATAACACAATGACTTCGAGAGTATCAGTGGACTTTATGCTGCAGAACAACCATTAAATATCAACGCAACCCAATCTCTTTGAATTTGAAGCTGTGCCTCTCATTGTCTTTCGATTGTGGCCTGGGCCATCTCAGTGTCTACTCTGGTTCCCGGTGACAGGGGCCATATTTCATGTTGTTCCTCCAGTGGGCTGTCTGCCTGTGATAAGCTATAATGGATCTGTCTGTAAGAACAGCTGTCTCCCCTTGTTCCCGAGAAGAGATGAAAAAATGCCTCTTCTCTCACATATTGTATTAACCTTGACAATAATGAAGTG